TTTTTTTTCTCCCCCCCCTGCGCCGGGGGGGGGGGGGGGGGGGGGGGGGGGGCTATTTTTAAATGTGTTTGGATTTGAGTGAGGTCAAGCTGGAGAGATTGCTGTAAATTCAAACAACCTTTATGCCACTTACTATCTTACATGTTGACATTCCCAAAGGTTCCCTAATTTCATTTGTGAAAGTTTTCTTGAGCAAAGTGTCCAGAGTGACATCTTGCTTTCTGGAAAGCCACTGCTTATTTAAGTTTTCACCTAGCTGCATGAGGAGGCAGACAAACCTTTTCCCCAAAGCTGAACAGTTTTGAGATAAAGGCAAGAAAATGTGATTAAATAAAGGGTTTTAACTCTATTTTAACATGATGGTATGCTATTGTTTAACCAGACAACAACAGCTGTGATGTGTCACTCATTAGCACCGACTCGAGGTTAAGAAGCTACCTTGTTAGCATGCTAGCAAGTTTGACTTGATTCTAGCGTTGATAGGGGAGACAAAGCTGATAAAAAACCAAAAAAGAAGCTAATTCTTGCTGTGACAATGAAACACCCCCATCACACATCTTTTAATTATTTAAAAACATTTACAAAGTTTATATCTTTGTTCATACGGTAATCTAAAAGCCGTCAAACAGATCAACATCTTCGGGTAAATTCCAATCAAAATGTTTCGGTTGCAGTTGAAACCAGTCATTTGAATATTTTATTACCACTACATTCACAAACAATTACGCTTAGTTAAGGTTCTGATAATATTTAACTTAATCCGCCAACAGTCATTTCTGCAGTGCATGAACATGCAGAAAGAGTTGGAGCCTCAGCTCTGTGTGTGTGGTGTGTCATTGTCATAGTCAGGGCTTCCTGCGCTCGCCTTCTGAACGGGAAGCAAAGTGCCCTCTAAGCAAAATCTCAGTCCATTTCCATGAGTAAGCAGCTAACCCCGCAACCCCAGGGGGGACCTGAACACAGGAAGGGCTGTCAGAAGCCAAGCAACAGAGGGGTGAAGGGCGTGGAGGGAATCAAAAAGGTTTTTTTTTTTTTTTTATAAGGGTGCAGGATCACTTCCTTTTTTCCATCGAGAGCTTAGATATTACGCATTTTAGCAGGTCAGAGTTGAGCTGGAGCCAGAGCGATAACGAGAAGAAAAAGGACAGATTCGCATTTGAGTCACACGGGACACTTGTAGCAAAACGCCGGCTGTGCCGTCTTCCTTTTAAGTCTCCTTCCCTCCGCAGCTCCCCCCCCGATAATGCTGCAAATGCCAAAACAGCATTAGGCATTAATAATTAATGTTGAACTCGCAGAGATTGAAACAGAGTAGGCTAATGGCAGTGTGAGTTGTGCGTTGGTGCCACTGATGTGATGGGGTTTGTAATTAGTGCGTTACAGCGAGACGAACACAGCGGTGACGAGCCGTTCAGAGGACTTTACTCACACCAACCCCGACACTGAGGATCTGCTGTGTCTTGTTTTCACAGCAGAAACTACATTTATCATTAAGTCATGTTCAAGTTCAAACAAATATAAGCGTAAACGCATTCTGCTAATACCACGCAGGTCCCTGCACACTGTTGGTCAGCAGGCTAAAAGGAAGGCTTCTGCACTTTTGACACACTTACAATTAAGACGTATGCGCTTGTTTGAAAATATTTCAAAATGCAAAATAATAATAATAATAATAATAATAATCATGCCATGACAAATGTAATGATGGTGTTTATCATTGTTTCAATATATTTTATCTGCAGCTGGTATAATTCATGCATTTATTTTATTATTTTTTTTAAGAAAATGAACTGGATCATGTCATACTTTTTTTTATTTTTTATACGTCCTTATAAAACTCGTCATACTGTGAGAATCTTATACGAGCCCAAGGAGTAATGTTTACTCACACCCACTTATCAATGAGCATCTCGAGGACTTGGTCTTTTTTTCCCTGGGACAGTTTAATATCTGGATGAGATGGGGATTCATCACAAATCAACAAACCTGAGATTATGCATTCCTCTAATTAAAAAGAATCACTGACACATTGTGATCTAGAAATGCCACTCTGAACAACGCAGCAGCCGTGACCCTGAAAACCTTAGAACTCCCATTTATCATTAAATCCTTTTAAGTTCAGACTTAAAAGTTTTTGAAAAACTGCCAAACGTCCAAGTGCATCGTGTTTCCTGACAAGTGCCGGTTAAAAGCTCAATAGTATAAACCACAAAGCAAATTTCCTGTAAAATATTAAGCCTCCCCGTTGCTACGATTACCTAACATTCAGCTTCCTTTATGAGTGTTGAGATGAGTGTTGTAACTATTGCAAACTGTGGGAGAACCTATTATGGCGCATTCACTGATCATGAACAGAACATTTATTTATTTTTGACTGTCAAAGAAGACGTTCAGGCCCTTCAGGCTAACAAACATCTGATTCTTGTCACCAGCTGATTTTTCTGCATGTCTCTTGGGGGGAAAAACAAAACAAAAAAACAACAGGTGTAAGTTGCTCAAACATCCAGAACCTAAAGGCCGTGTGTTCACCTGCATGCAGCCAGAGCAGAAATAGTTGGACTGATGAACTGATGATGTGGCACTACTTTGTGAAATCCCCCCCTAAGTGTCCTCTCAGAATCAGAGCATCGTTTTTGGCTTCAAACGTGAGCAGAATTGGCCGAGCGTTGTGCATTTGGAGCAGGCAAACTCAAACTTGAGAAAGCTTTTAGTGTATTAATGTCGCTCCAAAATGAGACACGAGAGCGGAGCTCTGGTCTACCATTACTAGAGAGGAGATTGATCGGTAGAGTGCTGGGAGGGTATGCGAGATGCATTAGGGATTCGGACAGAGAATCCAGTGACGGAGCCCCAGATGGTGTGTAATTATTATTCCCCCGTCACTGTACGAGAAGCGAGTGAGCTTCGTTTGAAATGCGAGCAGAAAACACATCCGAGGGGACACACGCCCAGATTTCTGGAAAGTCGGTCACTTCATTTTCCGAAGTCAGAGAAATGGCTTTCTTCTGTGTGTTGTCATGGGGGGAAAGCCGAGGCCTGAAGTAATGGCTCTCTGTAGGCAGCGCCGTTCAACATGGTTGCTGTTTGAATAGGCTGTGGGAGTTTTAGAGAGGGATGCAAATTGTTGATATGGAAAAAGGCACAGCCCGGACAAAAGACTTTGTGTTTTGTTCCAGTCAGTCAGTCGGTCAGTCGGTCGGTCATTATGTCTGTCTTGTGTTTCAGCGTTAAAGACGGATCTGAGTTTGATGGGGGATTCATGCCGTCCCCTTCCCCAGTTTTCTTTACACTTCTTTTCATACTCTGTTTATTTATGAGCTTCGAGCCAAAAAACAAGCGAGTGTTTGTTTTGTTGACGTTCGGTGTCCTTCGCGCTTCCTGAGCTGCTACAGAAACACGGCTCGGTCCGAAGGAGGCGGCCATCTGTTTTTCAGAGCCACTTGCTGCAGTTTGAGTCACCTCTTTGTGCAGCTCTTATTAATAGCATAGAGGCGCATTCAATTACATGCCTTAGTTACACTTACAACTGTATTCCCATTGATTTCTCATCGCTCACTGTAATTTCACTGCTTTCTCTCTCACGGCCATTTAAAATTAAAAAAATCTTTGCGCTGAATCTTTTCAAGGCTACATCACAGTGCGGACATGCACGCCATTATAACGTTGACGCCTATGCATTTCAACATTCAGTGTATTTTGAAAAGCAGTGCATAGTTGTGACAGGAGAGACAAGGTGTCATGGGTTTCAAATTTCCTGTCATGGATTTGTTGTTACCCCCTTTTCCTCTGATACCTCTAAATAAAATCCAATGTAACCAGTTGCCTTCAGGGACAGTCGGTAAAAAGGGACACCAGTCTGTGACTTGGCTTCAGAATATAAATTTTGTAAAGGCCTCAGAGGTTTGTCGGACAACACAAACATTTTGCCATACATTCAAAACGCTGTGCGGTTGAAAACTAACTCTGACAAAATGCTCTGAACATTCTGTCTTCACCGTGAGACACGGTGGTGGCAGCATCATGCTTCTGGAGCAAAGTGCACGATAACATCAGAAGACTTGAGACTGGGATGACATTCACCTTCCAGCAGGACAATAACAGTGAACATGCAGCCAAGGAAACGGTTTAGATCAAAGCATATCATGCGTTAGAATGGCCTAGTCAAAGTCCGAATCTAAGTATATTTGAGAATATATAGTAAGACTTTTTAAAAAAGAAAAATTGGCAAAACTTTCTGCATGTCGATCTGTACATTTTGGAGCCTTTAACAAAGGAAATTTGTCTCTGTGCTGCAGTGATTCAAAGGGACTGAATACGAAAAAGTGCCACTATTTTCAGCTTTTCACTTGTAAAAATCCTTTAAAACTGCAGACCGCTTCCCTTCCAAGTCACGTTTATGCAGTATCGTTTGTAGAGCAGTCGCTAAAACCTCATACGATTCCTTAAATCCCGTGTTTGTGTATTTGCAAGCAAGCAAACATTTGGAAAGGTTTAGTATTACAAACAGTTTGCGCTCCAGTCTGGGTCACCAAATGGAACCGGTTAGCTGGTTGTGACCCTGATCCTATTCCCGTCTGCCTCTGCTCCCGTCTTGCCCAATAAAACGGCATTTTCTGGAGGACATGAAGTCACGGGGCGTCTGGGAAAACTGGGCATAAGCTCCTCAAACAGGTCAATGTGTAACACTTGGCCCGCTGTGGAGAAACACCTGGTTTGTTCAGCTCAGAACTGGTTTAAACAGAGATTTCCTTCTCTGTTGACCTCTTTCTTGGGAAAGAAGTGTGCAAAGACATGAAATAATAATAAAAAGTTTTAACGCTTTCTCTCTCAGTATTCAAAATTGTCTTTCTTTTTTTCTTTTTTTCTTTTTTTTTTTAGGTTCTGGAGAGCTTTAAGATCATGGACTACAGTCTGCTGCTGGGCGTGCACGTCCTGGACCACAGGGAGGTGGGGGAGCCGGGCCAGACGGGGGGAGACGGCAGGAGGAACGTAGGTCAGAGAGTGCTTTACTCCACGGCCTTGGAGTCCATCCAAGGAGACGGCAAGGCGGCCGAAGTTGTCACCACTGACGACACGTAAGTTTGTTCAGCTGGCGGGGAAACGCACGCTCGCAGATGCTGCGTTCTGAACACACACCCAGGCCCTCCGCCTCCATCTGCGTCTCCGTCCCAGAGACGGCGTTACGCAACCGTAACGCTCGCGCCTCGCCCGCCCCAGGGCACCGAGCGTGCGCGCAGACGGGCCCTCGCATAACCATAGCTACGCAAAGACACAAACACAGCCTCCGTTCTGCATATTTACAGCAACACACATGAATGTAAATAGTATAAGGGCCTCTTTTACAAACACTTGTAAAAGTGAGGCAGCACACTGGCTTTATTTGAACAAGACTTGGAGCCTCACAGAGGAAACCCTAGCTGTCCTCTCACCGCTCTTGTTTTTCTCCGCTTCAGGATGGGCGGCATCCCGGCAAAAACACACAAAGACGAAAAGCTGCTCATCTTCCTGGGCATCATAGATATCCTGCAGTCGTACAGGTACCGGTCCTCTTTAAATCATATCGCTGCATTATTTTCTGGAACTTTGCTTTCTGACTGTTTTGCTGCAGTGTTTGATTTCTTGGAGCTAAAAAGTGTCCACACACGATAATGACTCACCGTGACAGAGTTACAGCTTTTAAAGATGCCAAACCTCCCATGTTGAGTTATCACAGGGGAAGAGCTACAAGACATTTTACCATAAACCTCCAGCCATCAGGATTTACTAGGCCTCAGAGGACCATCTGTCTTATCTATTTACTAATTGATTCTTTTTTTTGTCCTGGAAGCAAAAAAAAAAAAAAAAAAAGTCTGGTAACAAAGGAGAAAGCCCAATTGATCAACAACAACAACAACAAAAAAGGACGACATAAAGCTTCATCAGCCTCTCTAATTGACGCGACGCTCTCTGAGTGGGTGGAGAAGGATAAATATGTCCAGCTTTTATTACAGCTAAATGTTTCAGATCATAAAGGGGATTTTATCACCAGATAGCCTGTTGAATTACAAATTTCTATTTTCTAAACATCAGTATTTTAGAAAAATAAAAACAACAATCCGAACCATCCTAACCCCATGTGAAAAAAATAATTGCCGCCTAAACCTGCCACAGATTCAGGATGGAGCAAACCAGCAGTGATCTCCAGTGGATATTTAGGATGTTTTTCATCGACGTCTTAAGTTGGAACTTGGATCTTAAAATGATATTTTTGTTATTTATGGGGCTGTGGGGCCAGGTTAGCTGCTAACAGACCACAATAAAGTGTTTATTTCCTTTTTTATGCCTTCAAACTTTGCATCTGCACATTTACTTTCAATTTAATGAAAAGTACTCAGAGTTTTTGCTTGTCTGCTTTCAAGCGATTGGCAGCCATACGCAGCTAATATGGTGCCAATCTGAATTCTGGTGAGAAGGACAGATAAACCACATCGTCCAGCCTGATGTACTGCTGTTTTTAAAATGTCTTTAAAATGATAAGGGAGTCTGCTGAGGTGGCATCAGCTCTAAATGATATCAGCACTATTGTATTAGATGATTGAAACTTTTGCTTATGATGGAAATTAATCTCATACTCTTGGTTTGAGGTTCTTCCAAAAAAAAAAGACATCTCAGTCGATCGACTTCAAGGAGAATTTATCGAAGAAGAAACATTTGTGACGAAACTCTTTTCTTGTGTCATCTCTCCTCAGATTCATGAAAAAGTTGGAGCATTCGTGGAAAGCCTTGGTGTATGATGGTGTAAGTTGACACCCTGCAAGAATCTGAAACTGCTGCTTTCATGAGTGAAGCCCTTATTGAGCCTACTGAATAAATGTTTCTTTTCTTCTTCTTCCCATGCCTCCCCTTCTGTAGGATTCGGTTTCTGTCCACCGGCCCGCGTTTTACGCCAGCCGCTTCCTTAAGTTCATGAGCGTACGGGTCTTCAGGAAGAATCAGCGTAAGTCTGCGAGTCGACATGCTAATGCAAAGGGAACGGGTGAAAAGAGCCAGGATTGGGGGGAAGCAGGAAATCCTGACCTGATAAAGACGGGGAATCTGAGGGCAGATCTTATTGTGTATGTTAGGGCATTTGTGTGCCGATGATTACAGGATCTCCTTTCTCTCAGGCCATCGCAGCAAAGAGAACGCTACCTTGTGAAAGAAATGTCTTTGGCTCCAGGACTGGTTCATAAAATAAAGATTTCTATGGTGATTTAGCAAACAAGAAGGAGGAACCCGGAAGAAATGCTGACTGGAAACAAAAGCTTGGAGAGCAAACAGACTCTGCCAACAGAGTTAAAATGTCTTTCTGGCGAGCCGAGTCTGCACTTTATTCAACTTAGGAACTAAACCAGTCTGTGACAACAATTGTAATTCAAATAATTATAATTCTGGCAGCGTTCAGATANGGTGTAGTGATTTTTTGTTTTTTTGGTTTCTCCCCCCCGGTGGGGGGGGGGGGGGGGGGGGGGGGGGGGGGGGGGGGGGGCTATTTTTAAATGTGTTTGGATTTGAGTGAGGTCAAGCTGGAGAGATTGCTGTAAATTCAAACAACCTTTATGCCACTTACTATCTTACATGTTGACATTCCCAAAGGTTCCCTAATTTCATTTGTGAAAGTTTTCTTGAGCAAAGTGTCCAGAGTGACATCTTGCTTTCTGGAAAGCCACTGCTTATTTAAGTTTTCACCTAGCTGCATGAGGAGGCAGACAAACCTTTTCCCCAAAGCTGAACAGTTTTGAGATAAAGGCAAGAAAATGTGATTAAATAAAGGGTTTTAACTCTATTTTAACATGATGGTATGCTATTGTTTAACCAGACAACAACAGCTGTGATGTGTCACTCATTAGCACCGACTCGAGGTTAAGAAGCTACCTTGTTAGCATGCTAGCAAGTTTGACTTGATTCTAGCGTTGATAGGGGAGACAAAGCTGATAAAAAACCAAAAAAGAAGCTAATTCTTGCTGTGACAATGAAACACCCCCATCACACATCTTTTAATTATTTAAAAACATTTACAAAGTTTATATCTTTGTTCATACGGTAATCTAAAAGCCGTCAAACAGATCAACATCTTCGGGTAAATTCCAATCAAAATGTTTCGGTTGCAGTTGAAACCAGTCATTTGAATATTTTATTACCACTACATTCACAAACAATTACGCTTAGTTAAGGTTCTGATAATATTTAACTTAATCCGCCAACAGTCATTTCTGCAGTGCATGAACATGCAGAAAGAGTTGGAGCCTCAGCTCTGTGTGTGTGGTGTGTCATTGTCATAGTCAGGGCTTCCTGCGCTCGCCTTCTGAACGGGAAGCAAAGTGCCCTCTAAGCAAAATCTCAGTCCATTTCCATGAGTAAGCAGCTAACCCCGCAACCCCAGGGGGGACCTGAACACAGGAAGGGCTGTCAGAAGCCAAGCAACAGAGGGGTGAAGGGCGTGGAGGGAATCAAAAAGGTTTTTTTTTTTTTTTTTTTAAGGGGGCAGGATCACTTCCTTTTTTCCATCGAGAGCTTAGATATTACGCATTTTAGCAGGTCAGAGTTGAGCTGGAGCCAGAGCGATAACGAGAAGAAAAAGGACAGATTCGCATTTGAGTCACACGGGACACTTGTAGCAAAACGCCGGCTGTGCCGTCTTCCTTTTAAGTCTCCTTCCCTCCGCAGCTCCCCCCCCCATTATGCTGCAAATGCCAAAACAGCATTAGGCATTAATAATTAATGTTGAACTCGCAGAGATTGAAACAGAGTAGGCTAATGGCAGTGTGAGTTGTGCGTTGGTGCCACTGATGTGATGGGGTTTGTAATTAGTGCGTTACAGCGAGACGAACACAGCGGTGACGAGCCGTTCAGAGGACTTTACTCACACCAACCCCGACACTGAGGATCTGCTGTGTCTTGTTTTCACAGCAGAAACTACATTTATCATTAAGTCATGTTCAAGTTCAAACAAATATAAGCGTAAACGCATTCTGCTAATACCACGCAGGTCCCTGCACACTGTTGGTCAGCAGGCTAAAAGGAAGGCTTCTGCACTTTTGACACACTTACAATTAAGACGTATGCGCTTGTTTGAAAATATTTCAAAATGCAAAATAATAATAATAATAATAATAATAATCATGCCATGACAAATGTAATGATGGTGTTTATCATTGTTTCAATATATTTTATCTGCAGCTGGTATAATTCATGCATTTATTTTATTATTTTTTTTAAGAAAATGAACTGGATCATGTCATACTTTTTTTTATTTTTTATACGTCCTTATAAAACTCGTCATACTGTGAGAATCTTATACGAGCCCAAGGAGTAATGTTTACTCACACCCACTTATCAATGAGCATCTCGAGGACTTGGTCTTTTTTTCCCTGGGACAGTTTAATATCTGGATGAGATGGGGATTCATCACAAATCAACAAACCTGAGATTATGCATTCCTCTAATTAAAAAGAATCACTGACACATTGTGATCTAGAAATGCCACTCTGAACAACGCAGCAGCCGTGACCCTGAAAACCTTAGAACTCCCATTTATCATTAAATCCTTTTAAGTTCAGACTTAAAAGTTTTTGAAAAACTGCCAAACGTCCAAGTGCATCGTGTTTCCTGACAAGTGCCGGTTAAAAGCTCAATAGTATAAACCACAAAGCAAATTTCCTGTAAAATATTAAGCCTCCCCGTTGCTACGATTACCTAACATTCAGCTTCCTTTATGAGTGTTGAGATGAGTGTTGTAACTATTGCAAACTGTGGGAGAACCTATTATGGCGCATTCACTGATCATGAACAGAACATTTATTTATTTTTGACTGTCAAAGAAGACGTTCAGGCCCTTCAGGCTAACAAACATCTGATTCTTGTCACCAGCTGATTTTTCTGCATGTCTCTTGGGGGGAAAAACAAAACAAAAAAACAACAGGTGTAAGTTGCTCAAACATCCAGAACCTAAAGGCCGTGTGTTCACCTGCATGCAGCCAGAGCAGAAATAGTTGGACTGATGAACTGATGATGTGGCACTACTTTGTGAAATCCCCCCCTAAGTGTCCTCTCAGAATCAGAGCATCGTTTTTGGCTTCAAACGTGAGCAGAATTGGCCGAGCGTTGTGCATTTGGAGCAGGCAAACTCAAACTTGAGAAAGCTTTTAGTGTATTAATGTCGCTCCAAAATGAGACACGAGAGCGGAGCTCTGGTCTACCATTACTAGAGAGGAGATTGATCGGTAGAGTGCTGGGAGGGTATGCGAGATGCATTAGGGATTCGGACAGAGAATCCAGTGACGGAGCCCCAGATGGTGTGTAATTATTATTCCCCCGTCACTGTACGAGAAGCGAGTGAGCTTCGTTTGAAATGCGAGCAGAAAACACATCCGAGGGGACACACGCCCAGATTTCTGGAAAGTCGGTCACTTCATTTTCCGAAGTCAGAGAAATGGCTTTCTTCTGTGTGTTGTCATGGGGGGAAAGCCGAGGCCTGAAGTAATGGCTCTCTGTAGGCAGCGCCGTTCAACATGGTTGCTGTTTGAATAGGCTGTGGGAGTTTTAGAGAGGGATGCAAATTGTTGATATGGAAAAAGGCACAGCCCGGACAAAAGACTTTGTGTTTTGTTCCAGTCAGTCAGTCGGTCAGTCGGTCGGTCATTATGTCTGTCTTGTGTTTCAGCGTTAAAGACGGATCTGAGTTTGATGGGGGATTCATGCCGTCCCCTTCCCCAGTTTTCTTTACACTTCTTTTCATACTCTGTTTATTTATGAGCTTCGAGCCAAAAAACAAGCGAGTGTTTGTTTTGTTGACGTTCGGTGTCCTTCGCGCTTCCTGAGCTGCTACAGAAACACGGCTCGGTCCGAAGGAGGCGGCCATCTGTTTTTCAGAGCCACTTGCTGCAGTTTGAGTCACCTCTTTGTGCAGCTCTTATTAATAGCATAGAGGCGCATTCAATTACATGCCTTAGTTACACTTACAACTGTATTCCCATTGATTTCTCATCGCTCACTGTAATTTCACTGCTTTCTCTCTCACGGCCATTTAAAATTAAAAAAATCTTTGCGCTGAATCTTTTCAAGGCTACATCACAGTGCGGACATGCACGCCATTATAACGTTGACGCCTATGCATTTCAACATTCAGTGTATTTTGAAAAGCAGTGCATAGTTGTGACAGGAGAGTGAAGGTGTCATGGGTTTCAAATTTCCTGTCATGGATTTGTTGTTACCCCCTTTTCCTCTGATACCTCTAAATAAAATCCAATGTAACCAGTTGCCTTCAGGGACAGTCGGTAAAAAGGGACACCAGTCTGTGACTTGGCTTCAGAATATAAATTTTGTAAAGGCCTCAGAGGTTTGTCGGACAACACAAACATTTTGCCATACATTCAAAACGCTGTGCGGTTGAAAACTAACTCTGACAAAATGCTCTGAACATTCTGTCTTCACCGTGAGACACGGTGGTGGCAGCATCATGCTTCTGGAGCAAAGTGCACGATAACATCAGAAGACTTGAGACTGGGATGACATTCACCTTCCAGCAGGACAATAACAGTGAACATGCAGCCAAGGAAACGGTTTAGATCAAAGCATATCATGCGTTAGAATGGCCTAGTCAAAGTCCGAATCTAAGTATATTTGAGAATATATAGTAAGACTTTTTAAAAAAGAAAAATTGGCAAAACTTTCTGCATGTCGATCTGTACATTTTGGAGCCTTTAACAAAGGAAATTTGTCTCTGTGCTGCAGTGATTCAAAGGGACTGAATACGAAAAAGTGCCACTATTTTCAGCTTTTCACTTGTAAAAATCCTTTAAAACTGCAGACCGCTTCCCTTCCAAGTCACGTTTATGCAGTATCGTTTGTAGAGCAGTCGCTAAAACCTCATACGATTCCTTAAATCCCGTGTTTGTGTATTTGCAAGCAAGCAAACATTTGGAAAGGTTTAGTATTACAAACAGTTTGCGCTCCAGTCTGGGTCACCAAATGGAACCGGTTAGCTGGTTGTGACCCTGATCCTATTCCCGTCTGCCTCTGCTCCCGTCTTGCCCAATAAAACGGCATTTTCTGGAGGACATGAAGTCACGGGGCGTCTGGGAAAACTGGGCATAAGCTCCTCAAACAGGTCAATGTGTAACACTTGGCCCGCTGTGGAGAAACACCTGGTTTGTTCAGCTCAGAACTGGTTTAAACAGAGATTTCCTTCTCTGTTGACCTCTTTCTTGGGAAAGAAGTGTGCAAAGACATGAAATAATAATAAAAAGTTTTAACGCTTTCTCTCTCAGTATTCAAAATTGTCTTTCTTTTTTTCTTTTTTTCTTTTTTTTTTTAGGTTCTGGAGAGCTTTAAGATCATGGACTACAGTCTGCTGCTGGGCGTGCACGTCCTGGACCACAGGGAGGTGGGGGAGCCGGGCCAGACGGGGGGAGACGGCAGGAGGAACGTAGGTCAGAGAGTGCTTTACTCCACGGCCTTGGAGTCCATCCAAGGAGACGGCAAGGCGGCCGAAGTTGTCACCACTGACGACACGTAAGTTTGTTCAGCTGGCGGGGAAACGCACGCTCGCAGATGCTGCGTTCTGAACACACACCCAGGCCCTCCGCCTCCATCTGCGTCTCCGTCCCAGAGACGGCGTTACGCAACCGTAACGCTCGCGCCTCGCCCGCCCCAGGGCACCGAGCGTGCGCGCAGACGGGCCCTCGCATAACCATAGCTACGCAAAGACACAAACACAGCCTCCGTTCTGCATATTTACAGCAACACACATGAATGTAAATAGTATAAGGGCCTCTTTTACAAACACTTGTAAAAGTGAGGCAGCACACTGGCTTTATTTGAACAAGACTTGGAGCCTCACAGAGGAAACCCTAGCTGTCCTCTCACCGCTCTTGTTTTTCTCCGCTTCAGGATGGGCGGCATCCCGGCAAAAACACACAAAGACGAAAAGCTGCTCATCTTCCTGGGCATCATAGATATCCTGCAGTCGTACAGGTACCGGTCCTCTTTAAATCATATCGCTGCATTATTTTCTGGAACTTTGCTTTCTGACTGTTTTGCTGCAGTGTTTGATTTCTTGGAGCTAAAAAGTGTCCACACACGATAATGACTCACCGTGACAGAGTTACAGCTTTTAAAGATGCCAAACCTCCCATGTTGAGTTATCACAGGGGAAGAGCTACAAGACATTTTACCATAAACCTCCAGCCATCAGGATTTACTAGGCCTCAGAGGACCATCTGTCTTATCTATTTACTAATTGATTCTTTTTTTTGTCCTGGAAGCAAAAAAAAAAAAAAAAAAAGTCTGGTAACAAAGGAGAAAGCCCAATTGATCAACAACAACAACAACAAAAAAGGACGACATAAAGCTTCATCAGCCTCTCTAATTGACGCGACGCTCTCTGAGTGGGTGGAGAAGGATAAATATGTCCAGCTTTTATTACAGCTAAATGTTTCAGATCATAAAGGGGATTTTATCACCAGATAGCCTGTTGAATTACAAATTTCTATTTTCTAAACATCAGTATTTTAGAAAAATAAAAACAACAATCCGAACCATCCTAACCCCATGTGAAAAAAATAATTGCCGCCTAAACCTGCCACAGATTCAGGATGGAGCAAACCAGCAGTGATCTCCAGTGGATATTTAGGATGTTTTTCATCGACGTCTTAAGTTGGAACTTGGATCTTAAAATGATATTTTTGTTATTTATGGGGCTGTGGGGCCAGGTTAGCTGCTAACAGACCACAATAAAGTGTTTATTTCCTTTTTTATGCCTTCAAACTTTGCATCTGCACATTTACTTTCAATTTAATGAAAAGTACTCAGAGTTTTTGCTTGTCTGCTTTCAAGCGATTGGCAGCCATACGCAGCTAATATGGTGCCAATCTGAATTCTGGTGAGAAGGACAGATAAACCACATCGTCCAGCCTGATGTACTGCTGTTTTTAAAATGTCTTTCGGTGATAAGGGAGTCTGCTGAGGTGGCATCAGCTCTAAATGATATCAGCACTATTGTATTAGATGATTGAAACTTTTGCTTATGATGGAAATTAATCTCATACTCTTGGTTTGAGGTTCTTCCAAAAAAAAAAGACATCTCAGTCGATCGACTTCAAGGAGAATTTATCGAAGAAGAAACATTTGTGACGAAACTCTTTTCTTGTGTCATCTCTCCTCAGATTCATGAAAAAGTTGGAGCATTCGTGGAAAGCCTTGGTGTATGATGGTGTAAGTTGACACCCTGCAAGAATCTGAAACTGCTGCTTTCATGAGTGAAGCCCTTATTGAGCCTACTGAATAAATGTTTCTTTTCTTCTTCTTCCCATGCCTCCCCTTCTGTAGGATTCGGTTTCTGTCCACCGGCCCGCGTTTTACGCCAGCCGCTTCCTTAAGTTCATGAGCGTACGGGTCTTCAGGAAGAATCAGCGTAAGTCTGCGAGTCGACATGCTAATGCAAAGGGAACGGGTGAAAAGAGCCAGGATTGGGGGGAAGCAGGAAATCCTGACCTGATAAAGACGGGGAATCTGAGGGCAGATCTTATTGTGTATGTTAGGGCATTTGTGTGCCGATGATTACAGGATCTCCTTTCTCTCAGGCCATCGCAGCAAAGAGAACGCTACCTTGTGAAAGAAATGTCTTTGGCTCCAGGACTGGTTCATAAAATAAAGATTTCTATGGTGATTTAGCAAACAAGAAGGAGGAACCCGGAAGAAATGCTGACTGGAAACAAAAGCTTGGAGAGCAAACAGACTCTGCCAACAGAGTTAAAATGTCTTTCTGGCGAGCCGAGTCTGCACTTTATTCAACTTAGGAACTAAACCAGTCTGTGACAACAATTGTAATTCAAATAATTATAATTCTGGCAGCGTTCAGATACATGTTGATGCTTCCGCTCCATTTCTGACCATCGTTGTTACTCTTTACAGTATTTCATTCGACATATTCCCATTAATCAGGTCTATTTTTTCAAGAAAACAGTTTTTTTTTTCTTTTGTTGCTCATAACCATAGGGAGTCATGTTATGTGGGTTTAGACATATCATTATCCATATATGGTAATGGTTCCTGTTATGGAGAGATTTGGCCTCAAATGCTGTTTCTGTGTCAGAAATGTGTTTTTTTTTTTTTTTTTTTTTTTTGCTTTGAAAAATATTGGGAAGGCATACTAACATTCTTTGTTTTTTGGCCTGTAAATATATTTGACCTTCAAAAATGATGAAGGTCAAATATGTACGACTCCAGCCATATGTTTGCTCCGTCAGGTTGTTGAAAGGAGCTGATAGATTTTCTCTGTTATGAGTCGTATGAAGATCTGGAGCTGTTCATCATGTCAGTGTAACTTTAGGTAAAAATGGGAAGCTGCACTTCTTATTTAGGCGACAGGAACAGATTTTATTTCATGTCCTGCTTTGGGGGAACATTTTTATTTCCCTTTAACAGTTAAAATCTGCTGATTTTAAGGCTTCAACTCTGTGTGACCTCTTCATCTGTCACGGTCTTCCCCCCCTCGGCTTCTGACTCCTGTGAATCTCTTACTTTCTAACCCTTTTTTTCCCCTCCATCCCTTGACTTTAATGTGCCTTTATTTTTTATTTTCATTTTTGCTCCACAGCAATTCGATTCTCCCCCTCAAAGAGGACTCGCACCTCCATCCCTGCTCTGAAGTCGTCCTCACAGGAGATCCTTTCATCGCAGGCGGACGAGAGGCGCGAGGACGAGAGGAGGGACAGGCTGGGAGGGGCCCGCAGCCTGGCCAGCCTGGATGGACAAGGTACACAAAAAAAAACATGTGATACCTTTAATCGTTTTTTTCTCCCCGCCCCCCACAAACAATCTGGCAACATTCAGGCGTATTTATAGAAGGGCCTCACTGTTGTTGAAGTTCGCTGAACGTTCAAAACTCTTTCCTTATCCTCGTCTAAACCATCTTCTGGTTTACAGTTGTGACCTTTGGTGATGTCTTGTTTCGTTGTGACTGGAGAGTCTTTTAGAAATAGTTGAGGGCCATAAAAACATTTCCTTGCATTCAGCCATAAAGTGTTCTGCCTCTGGCCAAACCGTCACAGATTAATACTCTGTTAGGCCTGCAGGAAAGAAAGCAGAACCTACCTTGTCAATTGTATCCTCTTGGATGTACCACATGTGTATAAAACCTGAAAAAGTTGAGAGTTTTTCAGCTTTCCTCCTCTGCCGTATGCTCTATATCCTCTGTGACCACAGACTGACCCCAGATCAGGGAGTCGGATGAATCAAAAGGACGATAAAATAAAGTGCAGCAGCTGCAGATGACCTTTGTGTTAAACGAGTTGATTAGGCAAAGAGTCGCCGGAAGAAACAAGGGCGTGGTGCTGACAGAGATATCACACAGTCATGCATAGTCTTTCCTTTACTTTATTTTATTTATTTATTTTTTTACTTTACAGCTGAGGGGCTCTCCCACCCGAGTCCCCAGCTGTGATGTAATGCACAACAGAGTAAATTTAATTCTTCCACTTCCTGGTCTGCTCTTCATGGTTTCTGGATCGACCTCAAACAAGACGTTTGTTTCACTCTGATGGTGGAGTCGTAGAGCAATGCGTCAGTGTTATTGGAAGCAGATTATTAACCTCAACTTTTATCGGCATCCCTGGTAAAGACATAATAAATCCCTCAACCGGTATCAGTCATTTAACCCTGTAGCATAATTTCACGATGACAATAAAAAGGTTCACCTTCGGTTCTTTGCATAATATCTCAAGATTTTCCAGATTTATGCGCTCTCCCTTATAATCTAGACTTCTCTTCCACCCCAACTGGAATTTAGGATTATTTTTCTGTTAAAAGACCCAATAACAAACAACTCTCAATTCGTTGGGAGAGATTGTTTTATAAAATACCTCGGAGTTAAGAGTATAAAATACTTCAAGGAATCACTAAATTGGTTGCCAAGACGTTCAGGTGGATTATTTTCTCAGCTGTTTTGAGCCACAACTGCAAAAGTCCAAGAAAGTTGTTGATGAATCTGATGACCAACACCCATCCCAACCACCTGTTCACGGAAAACATTGATGAATCGTCTCTCATTTCTGTTTGTCCCTCACATTGATCCTTTTTCTTCAATCTTGCATCGTTTGCATGGTCTACATCGTCATTAGATGATGGTTCCACATTGTGGAGGCCGTACTTAGGAAACTGATTTGCGTGTTATTCTTCTCCGTGTCTTCAGCTGTCTTTGGCTCGTTCCTGCGTCCCGATCTGGTCCCTGCCAACCCGTCCTTCTACGACGCATCCTCCATGGGGACGATCTCCTCTTCCTCTATCTATGTCAATGTGGAAAGCCAAACAGGAGAGAGGTAATGTCCGTGCTCCGCCTTCCTTTCTGTTCCTACTGCTGCACACCCAGGAGACACTTTATTAGGTTCACAATGCTAGTTCACTGTTGGAGCTTCTTTCACTTTCTGAAAATGCCTTATTTATTCATGTCAGAGATTCGATAAGTTGTCAGGAATATTTCCGGAGATCATGATTCATATTGACATGATGGCAACAAGCAGATGACACAAGTAGTCCATTCTACCAAATTGGATTAAGATCTGGTGACTGGAGGTCCATGAAGGACAGTGAATTTATCGTCATGCTCAATAAGACGGGATGATTGTTTCACTCCAAACCACTGAGACGATGTGAGCTTCAGCCTCAGTTTCCAGGAATGACTTGATTTAATGAACTTGGCAACATTTATCCGAAACACAAACTCTTCCAGAACACCAAATGGACTCTGGTGTCGGGGTGGCTGGACGTTGTTAATGTTGATAAAAGATTAGGAGGAGCGTCTCGAGAGAAACTAATCACTGCAGATCTGTTGCCCCCTCAAACGTTGTGAAATCAGGCAAACAATCCCAGCAATAGTTTCTCATTAACAGGTTTTGTTACGCCTTCGTCTCCTCGATGTAAAACCCCGCCCCTCTGGCTGAAGGCCATTTAACGTCCCTCTTCCCAGAAATCTTTTTTCCCCTGTCCTCGGTGTGCCTGTTTGTCTTTCACCTCTCCTCCTGTGCGCCCGCGCCGGCTCTGCCGTGCTCTCTGAGGCTCCATTGTGGGACTCGCCTCTCTTCGTCGGTCACCTGCTGCCGCCCTCGCATTGTTCTCCTGGCTGTTTCCATAAATATTTAAACAGCAGGCTTTGATACAGTTTTAACCCGGCAATGTCAGGCCAAGCAAAGACCGAGACAAAGCAGAACAAGCGGCGCGTTGGAGGCCGCACATCAGCCTGTTGCAGCAGTGGCCATGTCGGATGTGTGTGGGTGTGTAAAGTTGCTGTTTATCTGTTTTGCCTTAATGAAGCCAACGGTCTCTGACTAAACTCTTTACAACACTCTACCTAGAATTCATTTTCACTTTGAAAATGAACCTAAAGGCTCCTCATCATGTCTGTCATAAAGCGATCACAACACATTCCTGCATTTATCAGGGAGTCACCTGATGTCCATGCTGAGAAAACGTTGTTCTTGATGCCATCTAGTGGTTGAAGCAAAGAGACCTGGGAAAAAAAAATTGACGTGGTAATGCGAAGGTCAAGGTATTTTTTCGGGGGGATCTTTTTAAATATATATTTGGATTCTCTTTGTTGCTAATATTTAGAGGTAAGTGTCTAAGTTGCAAAGAAACCGGTTGTGTAGTCTTTAAAAATCTCTTTGAATAATTCTGGTTGGATATTTGACTGTTGGGAGAAATAGTGGAGCTCGTTTGAAAAGCTTGGTTTCATTGGACAGACCCGTCGTTTAAGCACATTTCACAAATAATCAAAATCTTAATGCTTTACTGATTCAAACACCAGATTTGATCTGTACTGGTGTCTTTGACACCCAACAGCGTTTCCATGTTTCAGCTCTCCAGCTGTTGATTTGAGGTAAATTTGGAGAATCTGGAGGTTGTCTAAACATCCCCACTGCATGATGCTGCCACCACCTTGCTCAACAGTTCTGACGGGGTTTTCCAGTTCAAAAGCCTCCTTATGTTTCTTCTTGTCATTTTGGAGGTATTTCAATCTTTGCTTCATCTGACGATCGGAAACATTTCCCCCCCAAAAAGCATTTGGTTTTTCCATTTTAAACCCGGATGAAAGAGACATTTGTGTCATTAATGAATGAATGAATCAATCAAGTTCATTTGTATTGCACATTTCAGCAACAAGGCCGTTGAAGTCATAAATGAACTTCAAACCAGAAGTGCATTCTCCCAGGTTGAAGTTAACACACTCTGCTGCCTGGTGTGTGTTATTTTTGACCGACTGATTTCTGTGCCAAATCTTTTCAATCCGTAGCGAATTGGTTCATTTCCGACACCGTGAACCTTCCTGAACCCAGACGTCGTCTTGTGTTCAGTCCCTGCCTACGGTTGGGTTTAGCTCATTTCTGAGGAGTATTCCAGCTTGCTGTCTGTTTCGGACGGTGTTTATACAGCTGCTTTCAGGTCAGAAAATAAACTCTGAGCAAAAGTTCACCTCTAAATGTGTTGTCCTGTTGCAGGGATGATGTTGCATCCAGCTCTACGTTCACGCTGGAGGACAGCGCCATCTGCCTCACCTCGGAGCAGAGCACCGTAGATGTGGACATCGACCGGGACGACGGATCCGTTCTCGACGTGTATTTGGTACGTTGTAGTTTTGATCACTATGGGCTTACTCTGAAAAGCATTTTCCTTATTTTTTATTTATTTTTTTTTTTACAACTTTGTCGTCAGAATTTATATTAATTTCTGTGACAAAAATCAGGAAATATGTAAAAAAAATAAATAAATAAAAGTAGGTGGCAGCAGAGTGGATGGTTACAAAGGAGTGATGGTGTTTACCTGTCTATTCCAGTTTCTACGTCTATTTTAAGTTTTCTGGCTCTGGAACGTATGTGCTTTTAAAAAGTTTTTGTTTTCTTCTCTACAGTAAAAGCTTTACACCCCTCATTTCCTCCTGCCACACACAAGACAATCTCCACACTCCATCAGATGCTCCAGGCTGGAAGTCGGTCTCCACGCCGAGTTCTGCTCCATCCTCAATGCCATTTGTTGTTTGCCAATTCCAAAGGAAGACCCCTGAACGCCTCTCTGGTTAACGGACCTCTGCACAGTTGGAACAGTACAAATGTGGCATCTTTTAAAAAATGTGCTGAACTTCAGATAGTGTTGCTTTTCTGGATCGTGCATCAAAAGCAGCACTATTTAGTTTTTTTTTTTTTTACATGTATTTGTTTTTCATTGTGCTCACCAAGATTTCATAGTGTATCTAGATATACGAGGATATATGCATAAGGAAATGCTAGATTAACGTCATACATTTCTTTTCTGGTGGCCTGAAAGACTTTAAATCTTCGCTGCAGCACGAGCTGCTGGTAAGAAATGTTTACAGTGAATTCAAGGAAGCATCAAGACTGCTTCACGAAGGACCGACTCGCCTGAACAGACTTGATCACGAAGCTCCTGAGGCCAAACACGGACTGCGATGTGGCCAAATGTTCCCAACAAGGCGGCCGTTTGTGTCGTTTTGGAGAAACACGAGAAAAGACCGTTTGTCGATCTTGTACCAGACACTTGCGCTTGGCAAAAAAAAAAAAAAAGGCACTTTTAACACTGGTTATGATTGCTTTAAGAAATGTTTTCTCTTCTCTGAGGACATTGCTTAGGTTGGTGGTTTGCAGGACAATAAGCACAGAGTTGGATGTGTGAAAATGCACTTTTTTTTTTCTTATTTCCTCTACAAATGCACATGTGTTATCATTGATACTACATGTAGAAACGAAGGAACAAACACTGTGGATCATGTACTACTAGTTTTGTGAGGTTGGCCTCGCGACTGGAGACGGTTCTGTTCAGGAAAAAGTACGTCGTCCCGAAGAAGTCGAGACGTCCTTACCGCTGTCTGATACCTCAAGACTGTAGCCAACTGTAAATGTTCAACTCTACAATCAAGACAGATGAGAATAATTTATTACACAACTCGTGATAATTCACCATCTGCTGAGATAATAATAAACACTTTAAATCGCTGAATGTAAAGAAGATGCATATTTATGTACAGAAAAGCTTCCTATAAATAAACTTCTTTAAAATTCACTGAGTGGCCTTAAGGGGAAACTTCAAGTGTTGTAACGTGATCAGTCTGGGTTTTTTTTTTTTTTGCTTAGACTGGAGGAGAGTGTGTTAGAGGTTTTTGTTGAGGCACCAGCCTTTACTAAAGACTCTACCTTTGCCTCATCCCTACCCTCATCATTCGCTTTACCGTCAAATTACGGAAAATAAAGGCGGCATCATGGTTTGGGAATGTTTGGTGGCGTCTGAGCTTAATGCGCCTCTGTGATTTTGAAGAAAATATCATTAAAGACAATATGTTACAAAAGGATGCAACGCCTATTGAGGTTAAATCTTTTTTTTTTTTTTTTTTTTTTTTGGCTGTTTTACGAAATACCAGAAGAAAAACTACATTTAAAATTTTGAAATAACAAAATATTTCAAATAGTCCATGACACCATGAACTTGTAACATTCATTTAGCAACAATGAAAAATGCCACACCTACACTAATCATATGACGGTAGAATAGAAAATGATTAAAAAAAGTGTTAACATTTTATAAAGTGCAGAGGACTCCAAAGTAGGTCTATCTAACGTCAGTGGTGAGCTACATGGTTACCACTGCTGTGAAGTTGCCATCAGTGCCAGCAGACCCTCCGACCACCTCCAGCAGGTAAAATGTTTAAAGTGCCTTGCCCGACTGAGCGGGGATTCAAACCAGCGTCCCACCTACTGCAGGACAATGTTTCTTTCCCTTTTGCTTCTCAGCAACTTAATGGAGGTCTGTTTTCTACACTTTCTTCTCCCTTTTGTGTTGTTGCAAAATTAAAAGCTCTTCAGTCTAGTAGTACAAGTTCAAGTTTTTTTTTCTTTCCTTTTAATCTATTAAAAAGCAGACCAAGTCTATATTTTTGTAGCCGTTTCTTTGAAGAATGAACAAACCACCTAATTTTACTGAAGTTCTATTTTTCTTATTTTGAAAAGTGGCTTAAAAATGAGTTTCTGTAACATCGATATTGCACCCTAAAGAAACCAGAAATGGGTGAGTTTTAAAACAAGCCGAGTCGATGAGTGTTTGAAATACATAAAAGTTTTAAAAAGTGTCACCTACTGCGACTACAGCAGTCCTAATGACGTGGTTGAATTACCCCGCCCCCCCAGCTGAACACAGAAACACAAAATTTAAAGTTGGCTCATTGAAATTTCAGTATTAAACTACTGCAATAATCGCAGATTTCACACGTTTTCCCACATTTTTACCAAAGGGCTCAGACAGTGTGAAGAGTGGCTAGTTTCCATAAACAGTACACTTTTATTCAGCTCTTTTGTGTAATAATTTTACTTTACAGAACATTGTCAAATGCAAATACACTTAGTGCAAATAATAACACTTCAGATGTACAACTTAGAAATATACAAAGTCTGTAGATTGTTGACAAAATACAATTAAAAACACTAATTGTATTCTTCAGATGACAGAACACGATCTAGTTTGTGTTACCAGCAACAAAAACAATAATCCAGAACCGCTCTAAACCTCTGAGCTCTAAGATTATTCAATCTGCGGGCGAATTTCCCAGCCGCGCAGATCAGCTGATTGAGGAACTCCCAACGCTTGCTGGCGTTAAACACAATCTAAAAGTCATGAGGTACGATGACGTGAAATGTCGACCCATCACTCCCTCGCCGCCCCCCCCAGTCTCAATGCAGTGTTGATAAATGCACGTCTGGTGGCTGTAAAGTAGAGAAATCTAGAACGTTTTAAGGGTCACCCTGGTGTCTAAGGCATTCTGGGGGTGGTTCATTTATCAGTCAAGTGGCAGGATGCCGCTGCACCGCAGTGTGGCGAGTGAAATGTAAATTCTCCACAACTGAGAGGCCAAGATGTGAACGATATTCTTCCCATCAGTTAATAATTTCACTTCTGTTGGACAAAGGCATATCTCGTTTTCAAACTTGACAAGTGGAAATGGCTTTTAGTGCCCAGCAAACAATTTAGAAAACAAACAAACACAAAAATAAAAACGGGTGTGTAGAGTAGATCTGATTATCTCTCAGCGAAGGAGAGGAAACTTCCCATCACACACCGAAGCTGATCGTATGCAAATGTCCCTCTGAAACACTGAGCTGGAGGTTACAGACAAATGATGATCGCAGCTTAGCATTTTCAGACCACAGTTTGGCCATATTATCAGTTTAGCATTTAAAAAATAAAAAAAATTAGAAACGATCCAAGACGAGTTAATAAGCAAAGTCTCTCAATCTCCCACAGAGCCCGGCTAATTGCTGTCATCAGATTCAAGCGTTTAACAGTCGATTCACATTTGTCATGTTGGTAAACTAACTGAAAAGTTACTCTCTGTACAATACATTGTGTCTATGTGCTCTCCGAAAAACTAGTTTATAACAATCTAGAAATATAAAGATTTCGAAGCTGTGAGCTCTGACCCCCCCCATCGAACAGTAAAGAGTCGTCACAAGAAGGGGCAGGGCAAGGCAAGAAAGGGGGAAACAGTGGGCAGCTGCTCCTCTCTTGTGGTAGTTTTACTTTAGCAGCAGCAAAAACAAGTAGCTGTAATACTAGTGATTGTAGCACACCCAAAAAAGTCCAGGAGTAGGTAATCATAAGAAATTTACAAAACAATTTACAAAAAAAACAACAAAAAAAAAAAAAACAACAACAACACAACAAATCAATAGCATTTCAAAGACTTCTTCAAAAACTTTTGAACTGACTATTAATGCACTTTCATGGCCACCGACTTGGAGGCAGCCAGTGAGTTGCAGCTGGGGTGGAAACTACTGAGGTGTTAAAGCTCGCTCGTCTTCAGGGACGTCCTGATCATGTGCAGTCCTGCTGGAAAGTTGGGTAAATGAAAGGAGAGTGGGCCATGTGGTTTCTGACAGCGTGCTGAATGAAGGGCGTCAAACCTACGGTGGGTGAGCCTGACACAGTTAGGGAGAACGAATCAGTAAAAAAATAAATAAAATAACTGCAATTAAAGAGGATGTTGGCTTTTTATAATTTTTTTTTTTTTTTTTTTTTAAAAAGCTAAGTGTTTGTTTCAGATTACCTCCTAGTGTTCAGAAGAGGATGGGGTTCCCAGCCGTTTTTTCCTGAACGTAGGAGGTGAAACGTTTGAGGAACTTGGGATACTCTCTCTTGGCGACGGCTCTCAGGACTGAAGCCGGAGCCCAGCCTCCAGGGTTTACTGCAGCCACACACAGGAGGGTTACCAGCTCACTCTGCAATTCCTCACAATTTGTGACCAGCCATTAAGAATGGATAACAGTAAATCAGTGCGGCGCAGGGCGCCCTCTAGTGAAAAGAGGAGGAACTGCTCTCTTGCTTCATAAACATTCAGCCCCTGAAGTCAGAACCGACGCTCCAGCGAGGAAGCTTTTAGCTGCAGCCTCTTTGTTTGCAGGAAGCGACGGGTCAGATGGGCTACAGACGTCTGGGCTGGGATTTCAGAGAAACAATACTACCCAGAAAAATATAAAGTATCTTACTTTATATGGAAAACGTGGTACTTTAAAAGTGAAACTGGTCCATTGTTCCACTACACGAAGTGATTAGTTTCAAACATTTGTTATAATTTTGAGGATTACAGTTTACAGGAACTAGAAACCCAAAACATAGGTGCTCAAAAATGTAAAAAAAAAAAAGAAAAAAAAAAGTCAATTCCAAATTGCCATGTTTGCAGTTTTAGATTTATAGAGCGGTTTAAAAGCCAACAAGCTGTGCAGACAAACGCTTTATCAATCCTCCTCATCATCTGAAATGATCAGATAATTGTGTCTTCACCAGAATACAATCGAACACCATCTTTGTTGCTGCTAGGCAGCTGACGATGAAGCAAAATCCAAGAGATTGCTCTCTTCCGACAGGCAGCTACAACTGACAACCTAACCCTACAAAGAACCAAATGACAAACATTTGGGTTTTCCTTCAATGTCAACTATTGAAAATCAAATTTAAACAGCAAACTTATGAACTATATTGCTATTTGCAAAAACCTAATTCGTTTTTGAATTAGCTCTTTGAAATAAATGCACTTTTCACTCTTGTTCTAATATAGCAAAGTTGGACATGGGATTCATAAAGTGATAAAACATGTTTTACTTTTCAATCATCAACCAAAACATGTAATCTCAAACTTACACTTAAGTGATTTTCTCAGGCAAAGAGTCACGCAAAGCAAACTGTACACTACGTCATGCTACTTAGCATCTTTCCGTTTGCTGTTGTAATCCCTGAGATGAAAACCAGATGGCTTGGAGAGAGAAACTTACCGTTGGCAACATATGTGATCTTACAGAGGATGTTATCTCTGCTTATCTCTTTGTCCCCCTCTGGTGGGCTGACCAGCGTTTGGCAGATCATGGCCACATTGATTTTGGCACGAACACACCGGTTTGTGGGCTGGAGGTAAAACAAAAACGGTGAATGCAAACACTCCCAGGCTCCCAAGCTGCCCTGTGAATAGTAGGGCTGTAGTGATACAGTAATCTTACGATACGATACGATACATGATATTCTGTCCACGATACGATATATATTGCAATATTCAGCAAACGATACAATTCAATACACTTTTGCAATTTTCTGAAAGATTTTAGAGCGAAAGAGTGATTCTGGTGACATTTTGTGACTGCTATAGAGTTGGATTGAATTCATTTAACTGAAAACTGATTAAAAGCACCAACTACACAATACCTGGCTCTGGTTGGACATGGACACAGACTTAAAGTTGACAGCTGGACAAAATTAATCAAAGAAGTGGTGAGAAAACATGTTTCCTTTAATTGAAACAGCACAAACTGTAGCTTTACAAATATTTGTAAAGTAAATAAAGTGCACCAAGTACCCTGTTCTGAATAGGTTGATACCTTTTTAACCTTGACACTTAACATCTGAAGGAATCACTCTAAGTCTGATGACCTAATCACTCTCCCGGCAAAGCAAGCAGTGAGTGAACAAGGTGACAGTTGGATGTTACGATACTTGCAGATGAATATCGATTTTTTTTCTAGGAAAGA